CCCTAAAAGATATGGACACAGTGGAATGGCCTTTTGGGCTGACATGTTTGTGTTATGCCCCTATCGGGCACGTGTGCAAAGTCGCTTGGCCTTTTGCAATTGCACCTACGAAAACTTGGCAACTGCCGGGGCATTTTGCAAAGTTGGGCAGCGTCCGGTAGGGGTACATTGCAAAAATGGGGTCCAATCGTCCAACTGATGGCTGGGGTGTTTCGCAAAATGTTTTTGTCATCGTCCTTCGCCGCAGCGTAGCTGCGGCAGGTCCACTTGTATAGTTTAATAAACATTAATCCAGTCTAATGGACTTTCATCGATCTCAATGATATTCAAGCAAAGAGTTCAAGAAAACCTCAATCAGGTTTAATCAAATTAAACATACAAGTGGGCCCGCTGCAGCGATGCTGCGTCATGGTGGGTGATTGTGAGAGGAGTGGAGAATTTTCGACCAAATGCAGGGAAAAACAGATGACAAATAGCCCATGCACAGAAAAGAAGTCAGACGGTTGAAGAGCTCATTTAACAATCTATTTACAGTCCAGAAATGTGTGGTGTGTGTGCTGCGCACTTATGTAGAGTTGATATGTCCTTTGCGAGGTGGAGCTCTATCTATCTCTCTGTTTCTCTCTCTGTTTCTCTCTCTGTTTCTCTCTCTGTTTCTCTCTGACTCTCTCTTTTTCTCTTTCTGTTTGTAAAGTCCAAAAATAGTCCTCATGGCAAATGTCCAATGAACATCTGCTACAAAATGTCGGATTCGATTCTTGGTCTCATGGCCTGATGTAAGTTCTGATTGGATTGGAAGAGTGATAGACAGTTGTCTAGCATGCAGTTTCCAATACAAGATAGACAGCGTAGCGTCCGTGGGAGCATTCGAAAACCATGATGGCATACATGGACTCGTAACAAAGTGAGAACGAGGTAAAGAAAGAAGGAAAGAAAGAAAGAAGAAGGAAGAAAGAAAGAAAGAAGGAAAGAAAGAAAGAAAGAAAGAACGAAAGAAAGAAAGAAAGAGGAAAGAAGAGGAAGAAGAGGAAGGAGGAGAGAAGGAGGGATAGAGGAATGCGAGGGGAGAGACGATCCAATAGCGCTAAGTAATCGGAAACTTGAAAAAAGTATACATGATGGAACCAGTTTCCATCGCGGACGTCCCTACGCCGCGTTTCGGCCGAGCCCGCTGTCGGCCATCATCAGGGGACTTATTAGCGCATATTGGATCATGGCAGCTTACCTCGATTAAATAGTGGATGTTCCCATATGAGCTAGGAGTATCACGTCTTTGGATATCAAACTCTCCCTCATATTCGGGCCCGTGGGCTTTGCTGGCGGGATACATTCT